ATAGGTGCAGAACTTTGAGCGACTACTGCGAGCTATTTACGCACCTCAAAATATTTATTGTGTCCATGTGGACAAAAAAGCACAGGCCTCAGTCTTTGCTGCCATCAAAGCCATTACTTCCTGTTTCTCAAATGTGTTCATGGTCAGCAAAGCTATGAATGTGGTCTACACTGGCTGGACACGTGTCCAGGCTGATCTTAACTGCATGGCTGATCTCTATAATACCAGTACAACATGGAAATACTTCATCAACCTCTGTGGTCAGGATTTCCCTCTAAAAACTAACTTGGAAATTGTGCAAGCTTTGCGTGCACTAAAAGGAGGTAACAGTTTGGAGTCAGAGGAAATGCCTCAAGGAAAGAAGGGAAGAGTGTCTAATGCTCACCGAGTAGTTGATGGAAAAGTCCAGGTACTTCATTTGGAGATTTTTTTACATTGTATCATGTAGCTATTAATCAATTCACCTTGCTATTGTAAAAAACTTCACCATCATATTAACTTTTCAATTGTCCCAGCCAATAGGAAAAACAAAGGATCCAGCTCCCTTCAATCTGCCCATACTATCAGGAAATGCCTATATTGTGGTCAACCGAGGTTACGTTCGCAGTGTGTTTGAAGACAAGCGAATACAGGCCCTCATTGAGTGGGCCAAAGACACCTACAGTCCTGATGAGTTTCTGTGGGCAACAATACAACGAATACCTGGTGTTCCTGGCTCAACATGGCCCAACCGTAAATTCGACATGACGGACATGAATGCAATTGTCCGGATGGTCAAGTGGCAGTGGCACGAGGGGTCAGAGGGTTCCCTGCAAGCAGTATACCCAGAATGTAAAGGCCACCATGTCAAATCAGTATGTGTGTATGGTGCTGGAGACCTGCAGTGGTTGATTGAACAGCATCACCTTTTTGCAAATAAGTTTGATGCAGACAGAGATCCCATTGCTATCTACTGCTTGGAGAAATATCTGAGACACAAGGCACTGACTGAGTTAGTTTAGGTGGAGTCATCATCTATTACTAAAGATAATTCCAATAGACACTTAAGTATAAACACATTCTTTTGATGTTTATTTTAAATTAAATTGCTAATATCAATATTATTTGTATTATTAGTATTAAAATGATTTAGGTTTAGGCTGTAATTATGTAGAGGACAAAATACACAGAGAACAGGCAGGGAAGTTGATTGCAGTCTATGTAGAAAGAAAAATCTGGGTAAATGATTTAATTTCCAGAAGAACTTCAACTCTAAACCTTCAGCCGAACCTACATTAATATATCAATATGACCAAAAATACTCTGAACTATGTGCCCGTGTAGCTTGCATAGATATAAACATGAAATATATGCAGTTTTGAGATGTTCTTCAATTAAATCAAATTTTATTTACATGGCCCTTGAAACACCACAACAGTTACCAATATTAGAGACACAACCCCAACAACTAGGCGACCACCGCAACACTGGGAAGGAAGAAATAGAAACAGGCTCTGGGAGTGTCTGTCTGCACTTCCTCCCAATGTACAAAAATAAAGCCAAAATCTTTTCTTTTTTTAAACATTATGTTTATTGACTTTTATATTACAGAACAAGCAAAGAATAATAGTACAGTTAACATGCGATTTATATTAAAGAACATAGTCCCCAAAATAAACAAATATAAATTAAAAGAAACCAAAATCTTTTCTTTATGGGAGCTGCTATGCTGCACTTTTGGAACCAGAGCCTGCACAAGAGAGTGGCAGTGTCATGCTCACTCCATGGACATCATTGGTGTGTCACAGTAATTTCAAACTAAAAACATGAAACAACTAATGCTACAGATCAACGCTGTTACTTTAATCTCACAGTGACAGAAAGGGTGACAGCCTTGTAAAAACTTGATATAAAGACTTACTGAGGTGCTAAATGAGATGAGAAACCTTGCTGTAAAAAACTATTTCAAAACCATGTTGGCTGTTCTGTTTTATGTCTGTGTGCATGTGAACAGCAGACAGGATTTAATACATGTTGAAGCAGTAATGGAAATAACATGCTGAATTCATGGTTTCTACTCATTTTAGGACTACATGTATGAAGACAAATACTTGATGTATGCTGTCTGTTGTTTACCTACTGTGACATCATTTAATTTGAAAATACTTCAATAAATGTTTTAACCTAAATTACATCTCCTGTGAGGTTGCTGTGGCCTCTTGGCTGTCTTACAAAAGTATATGGAAATAAACATAGAACATTCAAATTCATTCCTCTAATTTGTTTTTGATTAAAGTACGGATAATGGTAATAGAAGTCTATCAATATAAAACAAACAAACAACAAAAAAAAAAACAAACAAAAAAAAAAACTTGCCAGCATTATATTAGTCAGTGATTAAATAAATCCAATAAGATATGAGATGTTTATTTTAAAACTGTTGCAATGTTTTCATAATAGCAGACTGAGGGAACAGTTGAGTTGGAGCTAGGCCTGGGGAGGGTGCCACAGGGCCACAATATTGTGTGATCAGGGGTGGTACCTCTGGATTGGCAGACCGGGGTGGTGGTTCCCATCTTTAAGAAGGGGGACCGGGGGGTGTTCCAAATATAGGGGGATCACACTCCTCAGGCTTCAAGGGAAAGTGTGCTGGAAAGGAGAGTCTGGACCTCAGAGTCAGGAGAGTCGTAGCTCAGATACAAGAGGAACAATCCAGTTTTTGTCCTGGTCATAGAACACCTGACCACTTAAGGATACTCGTGGGTGCATGGAAGTTTACCAATTAGTCTACATGTGCTTGGGGAGTATGGGGTGTCTGATCCATTACTACAGGACATTTGATCCTTATACAACTGTTACAAGACCTTGGTCCACATAGCCGGCAATAAGTCAGACGCATTTCCGGTGTGTGATGGGCTCCACCAGGGCTGCCCTTTGTCACAGATTCTGTTCATAATTTTTATGGACTGAATTTCTACGCGTAGCCAAGTGGCGAAGGGCTTCCACTTGGGTGGTCTCAGAATCTCATCTCTGCTTCTCGCAGATGATGTGCATCTGTTGGCTTCATCAAGTGGTGGCCTCCAGCTCGCACTGGAATAGTTTGCAGCTGAGTGTGAAGCAGTGGGAATGACAATGAGCACCTCAAAATCTGACATGTTTCATCATTTACATGCATACTATGTGTAATAATTTATTGGGAAGGATCAACTCAAAGTGTTGCCATAGTGTTGAATGTCTTGCACTATCTGTAGCTGACGCTGAAATGTTTGTGTGGGTTGCCATGACAACACCAGTCTGAGATCGTTATATTATTATTTGGTACTCATGTTTGTGCACACTTGCAGTAGAAACAGATAATCTATGAGTCCAGTGATACATGTTTATTATAAAAAAAACTTTCTGTTAAAAATGATTGGGAAGTAGTCACTTCCTGTGAGTCACGGGAACCGGAAGCTGTGCGTGGGAGAGACTAGACAGAACGGTGTATAGGAATTTCTTTCACTTATGTATTAATCACATTATTTTGTAATGCCTTGGTGCCACTGGATTTTAACATGTCTGACACTCATACGTAAGACAAATGGTAGGGGGTGTAGTAAGGATGTTGGGGGAAACAGGAACTCCACAGGACCAGTCTTTTGTCTCTTCGAGGACCCTGGGAGGTAGCAAGGGAGTGTGAACCTTAAGGTGTGAAACAGCTGTGTACTGCCTTTTGTTCCTGGAGAAAGTATTTAACTGAGAGCCATGCTAGGCTCAGGGAGACTCTGCTGACCGTCTGTCCCGCGCACATGCAGGGGCTCCATCAAGCTTGGTTGTCTGTTTCTTTGTGTGTTTGGATTAAAGAATGTTCGCTACGCTCGTCTGCAGGCTTTATTTAAGTGAAAAACTTCCACAACAACGGTAACACAGCAGACTTTTCTGAATCTACAACTTTTCTACTACTGGTTTTACAAGGCGTACACGATAAAAACATTATGCTGTTATTTGTTAAGCACTTGTGCACTTTGTGAAAAGAAATAAGTGGCTGAGATGGATGCCATATGTGCTATTGATATTATTTTACTTGTTTCTAGTTTTCACGGTGCTCCATGATTGTGAGAGGAATAGAAAAGAATTGTGGACATCAGAACGAAGCTGGATTCTTTTGACCTTACGTATGTTTCTGCCTCTCCTGACTTCCTCCTGCAGTACCACAGTACTTGTCTTGGTACCATATTGCACGCTTTCTCTCAATCGACACAGACACAGTGCCATTCCTTCTGATAACAATATGTTTGATGCAGACAGAGATCCCATTGCTATCTACTGCTTGAAGAAATATCTGAGACATAAGGCACTGACTGAGTAAGTTTAGGTGGAGAGTTCATCATCTATTATAAAAGACAGTCCACATGGATACTTAAACTATAAACACATTCTTGGGTCATAATTGTCATGTGGACATAGATGTGTTATACAAGTTGAGGATGTAGGTAAAATATTAATTTCATTGTTACGTTGTTGGTTTTTTTTGTCTATTTAAAATTTAATTATTATTATGCATATTTATATTTGAGCAGACAAATGTTGCTAATCTAGCATGGCATGTGAAAGGTTCATAACTCTATCTCCAAAAGTTGATTCTGTTCATCTGGACGTAGCGTTTTGTGGGAGAAACGTTTTGTCTCTCATCCAAGTGACTTCTTCAGTCTCAGCTGATTACACTTTGTTAGGCCACTATCCTAAGACATGATCAACTTGGGTGTCCCACCTGAAGGCTAAGCTTCTGCTAGTTTAGCTTTTAGAGTCACTGAGGGATGCAAGCCCCTGACAACGTTAAGGTGGCAATCCCTCAGGGGGAAACCAGAAAAACAAAACAACAAAAAATTAAATATCGCTCATCAGATTCTTCTAACAACTAAAAACATAACATTTACCTTAATTGTGTGGCCTATATCAAATATATTCAAGCCCAACTGTTAGGTTGAAATTGTTACATGTTGCCAATATTGTACTTAAATTTGTAAGCCTTGCCTTAAACTGTATGATCAAAGACATTCTTCTGTTTCTGTCCTCCTCCCCGGGCTCAATGGTGGGGGAGGTAATTAGTTATAGTGTTTAACTGCAGACATTGCATGTAAGGTTCTGGATGTCCTTATTTAGTGAGGATGTTTTACTTCTTGCCCTTTATGTCCTCACCTGTGCTTGCACCTGTGCCATATAAAGGGTGAGGGGAGATGACCCTTTGTGATCAGCAGGAAGTCACACAAAAACACCCACATCCACACAACACTCACTCACGTGCACGTGCACATGCATATACGCACACACGATTGCATATGCATACACACACACACACACTCAGTGCCCTAGTTTTATGATGCACCATAGGGGGGGTTTATAATGTGTGTTTGCATAAACTGTGTGTCACAGAATAAAAGGCTGCAGGGGAAGCTGGGTTTTTGGAGTGGTCTGAGACTGAAGGCAGAGGTGCTGCTCTGAGATCCTCCCCTTGCTAGCGAGTAAAACTGGTTGAGCTGTCTTGCTTTGTTCACAGGAATAAGTCTGAACTAGCGGGCCTGCTGAAGTGCAGACCCAACACCTACAATAACACTTTTCAGTATTTACAATATTGACAAAACTAAAAAGGGTAGGCCAAGTTATAAAAAAGGCAATTCAAAAACTCTTGGTTAATTATCTCACGAGTCACTTTTACTCCCGTCAGCCACCACACAGACAATTTCTTTGTTTATGTCACGGGGTGAAATGGACAAGTTCACCTAAGTGTTTTTATTTTGCATGTGTTGCATGTGCATGTGTTTTTTTAGTTTCAATATTTTAATAATGTACAGTGTTTTGTTCTTATATTTTATTGCATGTTTTATTGTGTCCTGGGGAGACTACACCCCCTCCTGATCACTAAGGAGGTCACAGAGGCCAATAAGAGGGCCTGGCAG